TGGTTCTTGATTTGGCCTCTCTAGGCACTTCCAAGCATAGCATGGGTGGCAGCCATCTGCAGATTGCTTTGCGGCTCCTGCTGGGTGGCCCCAGGTGGGGCACAGGTTGCAGCTAAACTTAACCTGAAGGAGGTCCCCTCCAAGGTGGCCCTGGGGCTAGCATGCCCAGTGGCCAGCTTTGAAATGAGCTGGAGCATCACTCAGCCTCTTTAAAGGATGACACGCTCAAGGGGCAGATTGAGCAGGCACCAGAGCCCTGCTGAGGCAGATCCTGCTCTGTAGGGTCAGCCCCTGCACTGCAACTACTCCACTGTAGTCATGGCCAGTCCTCACAACCAGTGTTCCTGCAGGTCAATCCCTCCCATTGATGTGCAGACAGAAACGAAGGCTCAGCTGCAAGAGGAGGGTACACACAACCCACACAAGAGACACAGCTGGACGCAGCTCAGGTGACCAGGAAGACTGAGCTACTGAGCCCCACAGCACACCTACTATATAAGGCAACTCTTCTAAGACTGAGAGACATAGTAGCCCTACCTAATACATAGGAAAAAACACAGGGAGGCAGCCAAAATGGGGAGACAGAGAAACATGTCCCAAATAAAAGAACAGAACAAAGGTCTAGAAATGTAACTAAACAAAATGGAGATAATCAATCTACCAGATGCAGAGTTCCAAACATTGGTTATAGGGATGCTCAATGATCTCAGTGAGAACTTCAACAAAGGGACAGGAAACATAAAAATGGAGATAGAAAACATAAAAAAGAACCAGTCAGAAATAAAAAATACAATAATGGAAATGAAGAATTAGAGGGAATCAACAGTATTAGATGATCAGAGGATCAAATCAGTATTTAGAAGATAAGGTAGCAGAAAACACCCAATCAGAACAGCAAATCCAAAAAAAAAAATGAGAAGAGTGTAAGGGGCCGTGACAACATCAAGCATACCAACATTTGCATCAGAGAGGCACCAGATGAAAGGAAAACAGAGAGAGCAGGGAATTGAAAACCTACTTGAATAAATAATGATGAAAAACTTCCCTAACCTGGTGAAGGAAATGGATATATAAGCCCAGAAAACACAGAGAATTGCAAACAAGATGAACCCAAAGAGGCCCAAACCAAGACACATCATAATTAAAATGGCAAAAGATAAAAATAAAGAATCTTAAAAGCAGCAAGAGAAAGCCAGCTACCGTGTTTCCCTGAAAATAAAACCTAGCTGGAGAAGAAGTCCTAGCATGATTCCTCCAGGATATGGAGGGCATGCACCCTTCACATGAGGGTTTTATGACCTGTTTCAGGGAGAAGGATTCCTTTTCCACAAACTCCTTCAGCTTAAAATACTCAGTATGCCAAGGTGCCATATTTTGGCACCTAAAATCATGTGAGGTCTTATTTTCTGGCTAGGTCTTATTTTCGGGAAAACAGGGTAGTTACCTACAAGGGAGCTCCCATAAGATTGTCAGCTGATTTGTCAACAGAAACATTGCAGCCAGAAGGGATTGGCAGGAAATATTCAAAGTGATGGAAAGCAAGGACCTGCAACCAAGATTACTCTACCCAGCAAAGGTATCATTTAGAACTGAAGGAAAGACAAAGAGCTTCCCAAACAAGAAAAAGCTAAAGGAGTTCCTTACCACCAAACGAGTATTACAAGGACTCTTAGAGGGACTTCTTAAGATGAAAAATAAAATAAAATTAAAAATATATAAAATGGCAATAACTCCATACCTATTAACAATTACTTTCACTGTAAATGGATTAAATCCTCCAATCAAAACTTAGGACTGAATGGATAAAAATACAGGACCCTTACATATGCTGCCTACCAGAGATTCCCTTCAGATCAAAAGACACACAGAGACTAAAAATAAAGGGATGAAAAAAGACATTTCATGAAAATGAAAACAAACAAACAAAAAAGCTGAAGTATCAATACTTATACCAGAAAAATAGACTTTAAATCAAAGACAATAACAAGACACAAAGAAGTACCTAGTAATTCCAATTTTGGGTAATTATCCAAAGAAACCCAAAATGCTACTTTGAGGGAACATGCTCATCCATATGTTAATTGCAGCATTATTTACAATGGCCAAGATATGAAGGCAACCTGGGTGTCCCTGAATGGGTGAATGGATAAAGAAGAGGTGGTACATATAAACAGCAGAATATTACTCAGCCATAAAAAAGAATGAATCTTGCCATCTATGACAACATGGATGGACCTAGAGGGTATTGTGCTGAGTGGAGTAAGTCATACAGCAAAAGACAAATGTTATATGATTTCATTTGTAAGTGTAACCTAAAGAACAAAATAAACAAACAAATGAAACAGAAACAAACTCAGAGATACAGAGAACATTGTGATGGTTGCCATATAGGAGGGGTTTTGGAGGTGGGTGGAAAAGGGGAAGGGATTAAGAAGTATAAACTTGTTGTTACACAGTAGTCATGTGTATAGTATAAGGAATATAGTCAATAGTATTGTAATAGCTATGTATGATGTCAGATGGGTATTAGATCTATGGGGGTGATAGATGGAAAGGAGTTGGGGCAGGGTGAAAAAGATGAAGGGATCAAGAAATATAAATTGGTAGTTATAAAGTAGTCATGGGGATGTAAAGCATAGGGAATATAATCAATAATATGGTAATAACTATGTATAGTGCCAGGTGGGTACTAGTCAGGGGGATCTCTTCATAAATTATATAAATGTCTAACTACTATGCTGTACACCTGAAATTAATATAAAATAATATTGAATGTCAACTGTGATTGAAAAATTAAAAAACGTGGGAGAAAGATAAAGGGTAATAAAAGATTCAAAGTTCCACGTATAAAACAAATAAGTTTTAGGGATGTAATATACAGCATAGGAAATATAGTCAATAATATTGTTATAGTGGGGCACAATGTCAGATGGTTGCTATATTTAACATGGTGATCCTTTAGCATGAGGAATATAATCAATAATATGGTAATAACTATGTATAGGGCCAGGTGGGTACTGTTGAATAACTATGATGTACACTGGAAACTAATATAATATTGTATGTAGCTACATTTTAATAAAAAATCATTAAAAAACAGAACTTCTAGGAATAATTTTTCCCACAGCATCTTCACAGAAAAGATTTGTGAGTGTAACGTTTGTCTGATGAACTGCATCATGAATCCATACAGAGGAACTCATGAAGGGTTTAAAGAAAATGTATCAGCTTGGTATACAGCCATAGATAGATAAATTGAAAAGAGACATCTCTACCACCAAACCTTTACAGTCAGGAAACAGGATAACATGTCTACTCAGTTGCAAACACTAGCCATAGCTTATAAAAAAGGAACGATGACTCAGAAAGCAGAACCAAGATTCTACAAGGTAGAGTCAAGAGCTGTGGAGAATAACTCACGGGGAACAGGGCTGAGCCATAAGCAAAGAAAAATGGCAACGTGCATCAGGCCAAATTTCAGAATCCTATGGACTAGTGACTGCTTTGTGCCTCTCATCATCACCCCTGCTGAATGGGAGAGTTTATCTTTTGATCGGCTCCCCATTCTGTGTTGTGAGTGTGTGGACAGATGACTTATTTACTTAGTTCACAGACTTTCAGACCTAAAAGAATGTATCCAAGGAATTATACCTGAGGAGCCTCATCCACACCTGAATGGATTTAGAAGACAAGTTCCTGGACCTTGAGCCTGAGCCTGATGCTATAAGAAGATGATATTTTTAGGGAGGCTTTTGGGAGGGAATGCATTTATTTTGCAAATGACAGTAACATAAGTACTCTGTGGACAGAAAGTGGGTTGTGGAAATTTTAAATCTTGCTTACAAATTCTTTGAAACATCCTTCATTAAAAAATGAATCTATGTCCCTTCCCTCAAATCTGGGTGGGCTTGTATTTCTACCAATAGAGTATGACAAAAATGATGTTATGTGACTCCAAGGCTGGCTCATACAGGGTAGTACAGCTTCTCCTTGTTGGTTGGAATACTTGCTCTTAGAGCCCTCAGCTACCACGAAAGGAGTCTGACTAGTTTAAGGACACCACGATGGACACCATGATGTAAGGAATCCAAGCGGCACAGAGGACATGTGTAAGCACCTTAATCAGCCATTCTACTCTTTGAGTAGTCCCAGCCTGTGCTCCCAATATGTGTGGGTGAACAAGGCTTCAGGTGATTTTAGCAACGGCCATTGAGTCACCCAATCTTTTGAGTCTTTCTACCCGATCCCCCAGATACTGTGGCATATGTTGTCCTAATTCCTGACCCACACAATCTAATAATAATAAAACAATTGTTCTAAGTGACTAAGTTGTGGGGTAATTTGTTACATCATCATAGTAACAGGGACTGAGCCATGTAGAAACATCACAGCTAAATCATGAAAGACATGCATATTTGAGGTCAATATTTAGCTTTAAGGGCAGTAAACAGTCAGTATGTTTATAATTATTTTAGAATCTTATACAAATTAGATAATGGATGTGTAAATACTCCTATTGCAATGCCTGGCAAAAAAGAGTAAGAATTTATTATTATGCCAAAAGAAATTTATGTGTATATTGATTTCCAAATGGTTATTTTCAATGATCTATGAGTAATATACTGGCCAAGGTTTCAAAGCTTTCCATGTATATCTCCAAGTTACAGATGAATAAAGATGTGGTTTGTTGTTCAAGGTGACACAAATCTGAACAAAGCTAGAATTCAAACCCAGATCTTTTTTATTCCAAATATATTACTTTTCACCACTATATTCTCTTCCCTCCAGGCATTTTAAATTTAAAGATTAAGAAATTACAGTTATGAAAATTTGGCCCCACAAGGAAGAGGCTCAAGAATGAAAAATTAACTTTGCACCTAGAAAAGGGAGGTTAATAATGATTTAATGATTACAAATATGATGGGTTTGTAAGTAGAGGAATAATTTTCTGTATGTCCTAAGGGGGAAAAAGTAAATATATATCCTTAATTCATAAAAAACTTAAAATTTAGAAATTTAGGCGAGCTCTCAATAAAGCACTTAATTTTGGTAAGGGTTAGTCTTCATTTTATGAACTAGAGTTTGGTCAACCATCTTTACTTCATTATTTAAAAGAAAAAGATAGTGAATTTTGGGGGGTTCAGTTGTGCATACAGATACCAATGATACATAAGGCTCAGGAATAAATGGTTATTAAGGTCCCTTTAATTCTAATAGAGATAAGTAACAGTAGCTCCCACCTATGTAGCATTAATTATTTCACAGATATCAGCAAAGGACTCTACAGATATCTTATTTAATCCCTGAAACAGGCCTCTAAAGTAGGTATTATTTTACTGTGCCTTTTTCTATAGGTGAGAAAGCTAGTACACAAAAAGGTGAAATCATTTTCCCAAGGTCGCTCAGCTAAGAAATAGTGGAATTGGGATTATATGATGGTTCAGTCTCTCATTTCTTCATCTTTCTAAAGCATTCTAAAGAAACACAATAAACATCAGATGTGTATATGACATATTGATATGGCCAGTCACAGGCAAAATACCTGTAGTAGTCTAAGTCGGTTTTTATTTGTATATATGTAGGTCCTTCTTGAATTACAATTCTTGATCTCCTTTGAGAATATTATTGTTATTATACTGTACAGTTCTAATATCTACCCAGTACATAAATTTCCTACATTTAGGTGGGTAATTTAAAAATATATACACGGAAAAACATACAGTGCTTACAAATCAAATGCAAATAAAAATCTTTTAAAAATCTTAGAAATTCATTAAGCAGGTTATGTTGATCCATTAAAAATGGTTCTTCTATGTACAATACATAATCTTTAAAAATACTACTCCAGGAAACAAAAATTCTTTGGTTCAGCAAAAGGATTCTAAATGTGGAAATTCCGTTTGTTAAGGATGCGCCTCTTGAGTTGGGCCTTTCTTATCTGGTTTAACTCTTTAGGAAACATGAAGCTGGCTTTCTCTGAATGCAAAAAACATGGGTGGGGTGTGGGTAGAGGCTATTCCCATAGAACATCAGCATATGAAAATATAACCAAAAGCTTGAAAAATGCAGTAACTTAGATGGCATTTTTACTCTGCCAGATCAAAAAGATACAAAGTCTGCTTCCCATCCATTTTGGAAGGAAGGTAAGGGGGTGATCATGGTTGATACAGAAAAACATTTACTAGTAAAGTTCTCAGGTACTGGCCTCCAAAGCAATTGAAACTACTCTCTTCATTATTTGGAAGATGGCAAGGAGGAGGCTGGAGGGCCGGTGCTAGGTGATGTTTTTACTTCTGAAGTCCCATCGCTTCTCCAGCAGCTTGCCTGCCTTAATAATCTAAAATTATAAACACAGCCATGACTCAGATGTCTTTTTAAAAAGTTATTAACACAGCAGTGATTACAGTGCATGAACATTTACCAATGGGATCTTCATTAAAAATTAACTGTGGTTACTCTATATTCTGGGTTTACTAATAGCAACAATCACACATTGGCCAAAATACCTCAAGGGTTTCAAAGAGTCAGCAACGTTACCTATCCGACTTTATTCTCCTCCACATTTAAAGGGAAGGAAAAGCCTTCACAATTTTGTTTCTGCATGTTTTCTATTTTGATTGTGAAAACATTTAGTATATAAGATAAAACCTTTCAAAAAGCCTGTTACTTAACCACACATTATAACCACCTTTAACAAGGCTTTGGAAAGTCTCCAAGGTGTCACAGCTGGTCACAGGATAGTGAAAACTTTTTTTTTTCTTTATATTTTCTAAGTTCTCCAACAGAATATAATTACCTGGTTGGATTAATTAAGTCCTTTATTTTAGAGAGTGGTACCACTGACTAACGACTCAAACTTGCCTTTCCCAAGACGAATACCAGAAGCACATTAATACATTTCTAGGTTAAATGCAGGTAAAAGTCAACAGACTCTATTGACTACCCAGATTTCTGCAAATCACCACTTTAAGATGCCATAATGCTTACATAGAATTGTTAAGAGCAGGGGAAATCTTCCAAAATTCACCCTTGTTCTTGATACTATTTGCATGACTTAGTTGCTCAAAGGCGCTGCTTCTTAAACCTTATTAGGGCTCAAGGGAGGTGAATATGATTAGAATGGAGCAACAGATTGCAGACAAAGCTATACCCCTTCAACAAAAAACAGTTCTGACTGTGGAGAGGAGAATAGAATAACCTTCAACATTTGAGAAAAGCAAAGAATAGAATACATGAATAATTCACAGCATCTAAATAAGACATTATAATTCAGAACCACCTCCATACCCACTATCATCCTCCCCAGCTCATGGGTAGGGATTTCATTTCCCTAATGGTCTTCCAAAAGATATCACAATATTCCAAAGAGAGAAATAATCAGCGCTGGATTATTGGTGCGGATTTTCCTCTTTTGTAGTAGATGTGCAGTAATCATTGTTTTGTTTGTTTTGTTTTCTGTCAGAAGTCTTTATCCCAGCCTGACAGCTCATCAGGAGGCACTCCCTTTTCAGGAGGATACTTGTCAAAGTAGCTATGATCTGTGGGTCCATTGAGCTAATAGAGAAAGGATTAAAGCAAAAATAAGATTGAGGTTGACTAAGCACGCTATTACATATGGATAATACTTTCTACATCTGAACACGGATTTTATACTAAAAACACTGGTAAGTTACATATAAGGAAAAGATGACTAATTGTCATTTCTGAGTCATACTCTCAGCCTCATGAGATCTCCCCTTTAGACCAAATGGATTGGGTCACTGTATTACATTCAATAGAAACAACCTTGCCTGGGAGTTATTTATAAAAGTGACAGAAATTATGTCTCTCTATATATTTTTTAATCTTAAAAAAAACTTCAAAAACATCAAACATTTCTAGAATCTTTCTTCCACCAAAAGTTTCTCACCAATCTTGAATTTTTATATGGTTAATTGACCCATATAAAGTTTCCAGAATGCCAAAGGGACAATTCAAAATATTACTGACTGTTAAAAGAGTAAAATGACTCTGGGGTTAAACTATTTTGCAAATCAGTTGGTTTTTAATTCTTTGCTTTCCAACAAATTTAAGAAGCACTTAATTGAATTATCAGTTGATAGAACATTAAAAATACTATTTATGATAGATCATAATGTGTTTTTTAGGAGGGTGGGAAGGTCACGCAGAAGGCATTTAAAATGACATTGCTATTATGAAACCTTCCACTTCCATGTACTTAGTTTTGTGAACACAACTCTTAGCACTTGCATCAACATAATTTTAAAAAGAAATAGAATTGATGTGGAGTCTGATCCCATTTTTTAAATAAATAACATTTATTCACAGACAATTAAATAATTTATTTTCAAAAGATATTTTTAATAATTACTTTAAAGTTTTGTCATTTATTTATGTTGTTTGATACTGCATATGATAAAAATGTAATTATAACTGAGTCCAGAAGAAATATTTATGTTGTCACAGAAATTTCTGTTGTTACAGGAATTTTAAAATCTATAAAACTATAATTGAAAGGCATTTAAAGAATGATCAATTAAAGTTGCCAAACATAAAAAAATATTTTACATTAGAATGAAATTTTGTAGGGAAAATGGAATGGAAATATGAACTCAGAGAGAAAAAGAAGTCATGTAATATTTTTTTCTGTGTTTTTAAATGGTTGATTGGTATCAAATCTTAGTAGTATTTAGATTACATTGAATATATTTAAAGGAAGGAAGTAACAGTAGTGTTTAACTTTAAAATGTCAAAATTTACAACATATTAGAAATAATGTTCTCCACAATGATTTAAATGTATGATGAAATATTCAGATGTCCATCTGAAAATGTACAAGGGGAGACATAGATCTTCAAAATTCCTCTAGAGAGAACAGAACATAAAGTGTGTAGGGTGTTGACCTAGATCACCCCTGAGTCATTCTTCCCCCCAAACTAACAGATGTTCCGCTTTCTCTAGAGCTGGCTGTCCAACCAGCTACATGTGGTGACTGAGCACTTGAAATGCAGCTAGTCCAAACTGACATGTGCTGAAAGTGTAAAATCCACTTGGAATTGTGAAACTTAGTATGAAAAAAGTAACCATAACATCTCATTAATGTTTTATGTTGATTACATATTGAAGTGATAATATTTGGATATTAATTAAAATTAATTTCACCTATCTCTTTTCACCTTTTTTAATATGGCTACTAGAAATTTTCAAATTACCTATATGGTTCATCTAATATTTCTAGAGTCAACTGTCAGCCTAACTAACATCAACTCCTTGGGGACTTAGATTTATATGTAATGATTCCTGAGAGCTGAGCTAATGCCCATCAAATAGGTAACAACGTGTATGTAGTTCCTATAATCACAACTGTTATGATGTTTTAACTTAATTTTTAAAAACTATTTTAAAAATCTAAAATCTGTCACACACACACACACACACACACACACACACACACACACACCCTTAAAAATCTGTTTACAAAAACAAACACCTACAACAAATTATAATGGCAATATAGTAGATACCATACCTCTCTTCGTAAAGGTGATGGAAGGTTCCGTGCTTTCAGTCCCTCCCAATTAAAACCATTTAACCACCTGAGAAACAAGAAAAGTACAGAGAAATATCACTCGCCGGAAAACGGTTAGCCTGCCAAGTTACCTGTCCATCCATTTGTTGCCTGCTCCCTGTGTGCAGCTGCCAGAGGTTGGAGGAAAATACTCAACCATGCTGGTTGTGTGGTCTCACATTAAGCCCATGCTCCCTCACAAGGGGCACTGACTCCTGCCCAGTAATCAGTTTGGAGTTCCCTGCTGCTCCACTCACGGTCACACTCCCTTAGATTCATAATCCATACTTTGTCTTCTGTCTTCAAACTTCCAGAACCTTCTCCCCAGCCTCACTCTCCAATGAGGACCTGGCTTTCTTTTTCACTGAGAAAACTGAAACAGAAAAGAGAACCTCCACAGTCATCCACCGGCACACCTGCCTGCCTACCTGCAGCTGTGTGTTACCTTGTCTCCCATACGGTGAATGAACAGCCTTTGCTTCTAGCTAAGGTCAACTCTTTTACTGTGTACTTGACCCCATAGAGTCTTCTCTATTCCAAGTCATGCTCCTGCAGTTCTCTCTCCTGAATCTTCAACATGTTCTCTGCTGGATAATTCTCATCGGTATGGAAACATTTTATCTCTTCCAACCACAAAACACCCTCCTTTGGCCTGAGCTCCTTTCCAGCCCTCATTCCATTTCTCCCCTCCCATTGGAGGAAAATCCCTTGAAAGGGCCATCTAATCACTCTATTTACCCATTTTCTCCTGACCACACTACAATCAGACTTTACCCTCACCATTTCATTGAATCACGACAGTTCTCAGGTGTCATCTTATTTAACCTATTAGCAGCATTTGCTATAGTTCATCTCTCATACTTCCTGAAACCCTTCTTCACTTGGCTTTCTTCCTACCTTTTGGGGTGCTCTCCCTCCTTTTCCACTGCTAGCTATTTCCATAGGAAGTTGGTGTGTTCCGGGGCCTAGTTCTTAGACCTTTTCTTTTTTCAACACTCTCACTGCCTAGGTAATCTAGTCAGTCTTGTGGCTTTTAACATTTACATTCTGATCACGCTCAGATTTCTATTTCCAACCAAGACTTCCCCACTGCTTTCTGGGCTAATAGCTACAACTGTGATTTATCCAGTAAGACATCTAGTCTGCCAGGCATCTAGCATGTATCTGGTCCACACTGGAGATCCAAATTTCCCCCCACAAACTTGCCTCAATTCTCGCAGCTGCTCAAAGCAAAGACCTTGGACTTATCTTCACTGTCACACCCTACCTCGGTCCATAAGCAAATCTTGTCAGTGTCACCTTGAAAATATGCTTACATTCAGAATACAACAAATTCTTCATACCTTCACTCCACCTGCACAGGCCAAGCCACTATTATTCCGTCCCTGTATTATTACAACAACCTCCTAATGTGTCCTCCTGCTTTTGTCTCTGGCAAACAACCCAGCTGCGAGAGTGATCATTCAAAACTAAGTAAGGTCTCACCGTGCTTTTGTTGAAAACTCTCCAGGGCTTCCCCTTTCACTTGGTGTAAAAGGCAGTCTTCACCATGTCTTTACTATAAGCCACTGGGCCCTAGAAAACCCTCTTTCCACCACCGCCTTTCCCCACCCTACCCCTGTCCTCCACTTCTCTTCTCCCTCCCTTGTCCGTTTATCTCCTCACCCCGTTCCCACAAGCCAGGGGGGCTCCCATTTTCAAGACCTTGCAATCTATGCCCTCTGGCTGGATGGTTCTTTGCCCAGATTTCCACGTAGTTTGCTCCCTCAACACCATCAGGTCTTTTCTCACAGGTCATCTTCTTAGTGAGGCCTTCTTCAGGCGCCCAGTCTGACATTGCAAGCCCTTCCCCACCCCCACCCCCACCCCCACTCCCACATGCATTCTATCCTTCTTCCCTGCTTTATTCTGTCTCCCTAGCATTTACTGCTATCTAACATATCCACTATGCACTTAACTTAATTATCTTGTTTATTTTCTGTCTTTCCCACTAGAATGCAAGCTCTTTGAGGGCAAGGGATTTTGTCTGTTTCCTTTCCTCTGTGTCCCTAACACTTGACACAGAACAGGGGCTCAATACGTGTCTTTTGAATAACTGAATGACTCTGCAAGAGAACAAACTTACACAGGACCTCTCATTATAGTGCCTTGTAATATCACACCATGGTGGTGATACTCCTGGTGATATGGATCTAAAAGCCTCCAAGATAAAAAATTATTTTATATTAATCTGCAGTGGATTCAGCTGATGACCAGATAAAGTTCTTTCATTTATTGCTTCCACAGCATTAATCTAAAAGGGCTGATCTGGTCTTCAGGATACATATCAAGCTTGGTGGCTAGAAACACAACACCAGAATGAAAAAGCCTTGCTTCTCTCAGACACAAACAATGTGTTCTGTCTCTCACTGTTTTATAAGGACCATGGAATAATACTGTTCTATATCGACTGACCTTTTCTACTGGGACACTGAGGTCAGGTCAGCCAGCCAACCAAAATTTATTGAAAGTCAATTTGGTCCCAGGCAACAAAACAAATACAAAAACAAAAACAAACAAACAAACAAAAATAACAAAGACCCTGCCTTTAAGATGTTTTTATTTCAGTGGAAAGTGACTGACACACAAGTAAATGATACAAATGCTTAACTTAATTTCAGACACTAATAAGTACTACGAAGATTAAAGAGAGAAAAGTGACAGATGATGACTGGGATGGGGATGGGTTGGGACAAGCTGCTTTTAGATAGGGTGGTATCTGAAGAAATGATATTTGAATTAAGGCCAGAATGAAAAGAAGGGGGAAGCCATGGGAAGATGTGTTGCAAGAGCCTTCCAAGTGGATGGAAGTGAAAAATAAACTGAAGTGTGGTGAATGAATGCAGGGGAAACTAGAAAAAATAATTGATGTCTGAGAAATGGCCAGGGGCCAGATCATGTAGGGCTTTGTAGGACACAGCAAGGAATCAGGATTTTATGCATCATGGGAAGCCATTAAAAAGTTCTACTTGGAGAATGGCCACAGGGGGCCAGGATGGGACAGGAGGGGTGTGTGTGTGTGTGTGTGTGTGTGTGTGTGTGTGTGTGTGTGTGTGTGTGTGTGTGTGTGTGTGTGTGTGTGTGTGTGTGTATGTGACTGAAGGCAGGGAAACTTTAGGAGGCTCTCACATTCCTCTGCTTGTTGGCCATGCCAAAAGTTATACTCTTCCACCTTTCTCTCATCCCTGGGGTTGGTCTGGGTTCAGTCCATGACTGGATTTCCCAAAGAGTATGTAAAACAGAGAGGGCAGGTTCTAGTACATTGCGTCCCAGGTGCCATTCTTAACCCAAAGTGCCTTTTTGGCAAAAGCTGCTGAGACTGTAGTCGAAGGGTAGGAGTCAGACAGCAACCTCAGCTGCACAGTTTCCCCTGTCCCTGCTAGGAAACCACAGAAGTTCTCTCCTTGATCTACCCACCAGCTCCCCTGCACAGACCGATGCTCCACTTTTAGGGATTTCTAGGCACACTGCTCTGGATTCTTTTCGTTTGATACCAAACACTGCCAGAATTCTTTTAAACATATTTTACAATGCTCCCTTACCCAGAAGCTACTCCATAAACGTTAATAAAAATCATCACTGTTACTCTACTTAATCAAAGAGCCGATGCATTTCTTGCTCAGTACATGTTACAATTTGACTTACAGCAATATTTACTTAACATGAGTGGCTATTCACTTAACACTTGGCCTTTTGACACTAACCACATTTTAAGTAGTGCAAATGCCAGCATGCACTCATATGTGAAAAATATTCACCAGAGAAATATTAGCAGCAACAGCACATAAATTGCATCTTCATTTTTAGAGGACTTGTAGAAGCCATTCTTAAAAGTAATTTAAGAGACTAGAAATATTAAAGGTAATGTGAAGACACTTGAAACAAATTATTCCTCTACCTAGCAGGAAAGATTTAATTGCACCCTACAAGTATAAAATCTGTTTTAGGAGACGTGTTGGAAGACATGACTGGTGCCTAGTTTGTAAGGTAGTTTATAAATAGAAGAGGGAGGAACTGTATTATCAGGAAAGGTAATTTAACACAGAATGGGCAAATATAAAACAATAGGCCCTGTTTAACTGTATTGTTTTTAAACACAAAGTTAAAGTGAATAGTTCTCTAAGGAAAAACAAGTTTTACTTTAGAGAAGAGTAGGAAAATCCAGTGCAAATTTTAGAAAGAATTTTTTTTTAATTTCAAGAATATACTGAATTGAGAAGCTATATACTCTAGGGCAGTGGTTCTCAACCTTCTTAATGCCGCGACCCCTTAATACAGTTCCTCATGTTGTGGTNGATGGTCTTAGGCGACCCCTGTGAAAGGGTCGTTTGACCCCAAAGGGGTTGCGACCCACAGGTTGAGAACCGCTGCTCTAGGGACTTGTGAAAGGCTTTAGAATGCTCCTATTTGAAGGCAAAGAGAGATTTATCTTTCAGGCTGGCCCACCCCAGCTTCATATCTTAAAAAACACTATGAAAATAGGATGAAATGATGCGTTTGAGCCCTCTGGGCTCATCTGAAGGTGCTGTGTAAGTGTGGCACGTGTTACTAGTGAACCCTACCCTACACACTGTGCTCTGACTCTACAGTTATGTGGCAAAGAACATCTGGCCTGTTAAGAAGAGTAAGCAAATGGATCCCTACAGGGAAGGAAATTAAAAATTCTTCATTACCATGCTGAGGTGAAAGAATTCTCTGGCATCAATTTGCATGTGCATCCAATTGCAATTTGACAGCTATATTTAAATGAGTCTCAGGTAAATAAGAAGTGAAAGATAACAGTGGAGGTTAACAATTATAAAACTCCTATTTCCCAACTACCTCAAAGCAAAACATGAAGATGCTTCTGTAATGAGAGAACGGAGGAAACTATATTGAAAGCATGACTTTAATTGATGGGATGCTTGCTTGTTGAATCTGAATGGTGTGTTTATGTGTCATGCTATAATGAGATAAGAAATTGTGATAACAGCTTGTAGGAACAAAGACAAATTGAAATCTAAGACAAATAATGAACTTTACAGTGAAGGCAATCCAAAGGATGACAAAGAACAATAAAATACTCTAAACGTTTTAATGTCTATAAAATCCACAGATGTGTCTCCCTCCCTCTCACCCTCCCTTCCTCTCTTTCTCTAATACACCCTCAAGGCAGAGCCCTCTATGAATTTACAATGTTGAATACATGGCTTTATTTCAAGAAAGTTCATGAATAGATAGAGCAGGGTTGGCAGCTGCGCTGCTACTGTTAAGAAAAATGAATAGTGTTTCTATTCAGCAGCATTTCTCCCTTTCTTTTCAAACTGAGTTGATATGCCCTTAATTCTTCAGTAAAAACATCCAGAGAGGAATGCAATACTGAAGTGTTTTGATTTCTAAAAGTGAACACATCAGTGTGCTCCAAGGTTTTTAATAATGAAATTCTCAAATTTATTTTTTCATACTATCAAGAGGTGATATTTTATATCTGTAAATCATAAGCAAAACTAAAACATCTTGAGGATTACAGGATTTAGTCAGGCATTAATTTAAAAAATAATCTCAAAGGCTTGAACTTTCACATATGTAACCAATTCAGAGACGATATCTCATGGAAGTTATTTATGGTTCTGAACAGTGGTTCTCAACCTGTGGGTTGCAATCCCTTTAGGGGTTGAACGACTCTTTCACAGGGGTCACCTAAGACCATCGAAAAACAAAAAGATATTTACATTATGACTTATAACAGTAGCAAAATTACAGTTATAGAGTAGCAATGAAAATAATTTTATTGTTGGGGGTCACCACAACATGAGGAACTGTATTAAGGGGTCGCGACATTAGGAAGGTTGAGAACCACTGGTTCTGAAGGACAGGTTTAGAAATTCATAGAACTGAAAAGATTCATGTTGGATTACTGCATAAGGATAAAACATTGAGGTTTTGTGGAAATCAATGTACTGTACCCCCAAAAAATAAAATACAACATGTAGCTTCAGAATTTGTAAGCTAGTCAAAGGAAAATTATATTTTAAATAAATGTATACTATTAACTAAAATTGTAATAGAATACTATTTAACAGTTGATTTAGCTGACCTATTTCTCTTAAATATTGACATTAATAACTATATTCTACTTTAAGTACAAATCAAATGTCAGAATTAGAATTTAATTCACTTATAGGCTCCAAGTTGATATTTAAAAATAATAATGTGGACAGCAGTGAACAAAAAACTAAGTTGCTATAACTTGAAGACGCAATTTTATAACTTGCTTTAAATTTCATCCATTCTTGATATGAATTTCCAGCATTAGAGAAATCATTTTGAGATTGATTACTGCAACTCATCTAGTAAAATACAAATTAAATGTAAAGCACAAAAAGGAAAAACTGAGAATCTGTAAAGGAACCCTGTGGCCTACTGAGAGAAGCTTCAAGATTACCACAATTTTCTATAAATTTCTATATTTTTCTCGGCAAAGAAGTAACTAAGTACCTGTGTTTCTTAATGTCATTGATTCCATTCTTCAGATTTCCCAGTCTTTCTGTTGGATTTTGCCTAAAATAATAATTTTTTAAAAGACAGTTTATAATAATTATGCTTGAGTCAATTTTAAATTACAAATTAACATTGCTTTATTCATTCATTCATTTATTCAACAATATTCAGAGATGAGACATCTGAATAGAGGGAGATGAAAAACACATGCCCCTCTCTATGGAAGCCACAGTGAAATAAGAGGAATATATTTATATCTATATCTTCTATATCTATATCTATATCTATATCTATATTTATATCTATATCTACATCTATATATCTATATCTATAGATATAGATATATAGATGTAGATATATATCTATATAGATGTAGATATATAGATATATCTCTCTTAGTGCTTTAAATGAGCTAGAAGCAAATGCTTAAAAGAACAGGAGGGTGCTATCTTACAAACTCTGCTGAGACAACCAGGGAATGCTTTAGAGAATTATTTACACTTCAGCTGGAATCTTAGAAGCATGCAGAAATTTCTGTTGGCAACCCACAGCTAGGTTTCATGTTCTAAATCTACTAAATTTTAATGTTTTAAAAAAAGTTCAAATGTGAAAAACAAACAGTGGCAAAATGAAGTTGAAACAAAATTCTATAACTCTCTGTTCTCCAACAAATTATTTTGGTAAATAGAAACTTCGAGTAATTTAAAATAAAGCCAGGGGCATGGTCAAAGATGGTATACGAAGAACCTGAACTCACCTCTTCCCATGAACACACCAAATCTACAAATACATATGAAACAATTCCCTCTGAAAAAGACCTGGAAACTAGCTGAACAGCTCCTTCACAACAAGTGGTAAAAGGGACACATTGAGGTGGGTAGGAGAGGCAGAGACACAGTCTCTCCAAACATCGCCACTCCAGCCCCCATGTGGCAACCCACAATCATCAGCAGGGATCTCACAAATGTGAATCTTCTCTCTGAGGACCAAGTGGTTCATATTCCACATCAGGGTGCCAACCCTTGGGACCTGGAATGAAGAGATAGCCTCCAAAATACCTGGCTTTGAAAAACAATAAGGCTCATGTTCAAGAGAGCCAAAGGGCTGTAGGGAACTGAGATATTTTTGTTAAGGGCTGGCTCACAGACTCACTCACTCCAGTGCAAAAGCAGCAGTTTGAAAAGTACCTAGACTACACGTGAAGGAGATTCATTTGCTAATCTTTAAGTGTCTGCCAGAGAAGCAGGGGCCTCTCTCCAGAAATGGAGGTGCTGTCAGGTGCCATTTTTGTACTCTCCCTCTACCTCAATAGTGCCAGTGAGCATGTTCTAACCCAATGCTGTCCTGTGGCCCCACAAAAGCCAATGGGTGCACCACAGCCCTTGCATTCTCCCAAGGCCCCACAAAATCCAGCAGGTGCACCCTGGCCCCACACTCTCCCACTGCCTTGCTCAAGCCAGAAGATACATGCAGTCCACATAGGAGACACATTAGACCAGGTAGACTTAACAGATATATACAGAAAATCTATCCAAAAGCAGCAGAATACACATTCTTGTCAAGTGCATATGGAACATTCTCCAGAACAGATCATATGTTAGGCCACAAAAACAAGTCTCAACAAGTTTAGAGAAGACTGAAATCATATCAAGTGTCTTTACCAACCACAACAGTATGAAACTAGAAATCAAGTACAAGAAGAAAACTGAAAAAAATCACAAATATGTGGAGATAAACAGCACACTATTGAACAACCAATGGGTCAATGAAGAAATTAAAGTATAAATAAAAAATAACTTGAGAAAAGTGAAAATGGAAATACAACTTCTCAAAAATTACAGGGTGTAGGTAAAGCAGTTCTAAGAGGGAAGTTCATAGTTATACAGACCTACATCAAGAAACAAGAAAAAACCCAAATAAACAATCTACACCTAAAGGAACTAGCAAAAGAACAAGGCCCAAAGTGAGTAGAATGAAGGAAACAATAAAGGTCAGAGCAAAACATAATGAAATAGAGACTAAAAAGAAAATAGAAAAGATCCATTAAGCCAAGTACTGGTTCTATGAAAAGATTAAAAAATTGACAAATCCTTAGCTAGACTCTCTAAAACAAAAGAGAGGAATCAAATAAATAAAATAAAAAATGAAAGAGGATACGTTATACCTGTAACTGATACCACAGAAATGCAAAGGATCTTAAGAGGCTACTGTGAACAATTATATGCCAACAAATTTGATAATCTAGAAGAAATAGGTAAATTCCTAGAAATATATAATCTTCCAAGACTGAATGGTGAAAAAATAGAAAATCTGAATAAACTAATTATTAGTAAAAAGATTGAATCAGTAATCAAAAACCTCCCAAAAGACAAAAGTCCAGGGCCAGATGGCTTCAAAGGTAAATTCTACCAAATGTTTAAAGATTTAATTCCTATCCCTCTCAAATTCTTTCAAAAAATTGAAGAGTTAGGAATGCTTCAGAACTTATTTTATGAGGCCAGCATTACCCTGATACCAAAACCAGACAAGGACACACACACACACACACACACACACACACACACACACACACACAAATTAAAGGCCAATATCCCTGATGAACATGGATGCAAAAATCCTCAACAAAATATTAGCAAACCAAATTCAATAACACATTGAAAAGATAATACACCATGATCAGGTGGGCTTTATTCCACTGACACAAGGATGGATCAACATCTGCAAATCAATCAAAATGAAATACCACATTAACAAAATGAAAGATAAAAAATCATCTCAACAGATACAGAAAAAGCATTTGACAAAATTCAACATCCATTTATGATAAAAACTCTCTGTAGAAGTGGGTATAGAGAGAGTGTACTTCAATGTAATAAAGGCCATTTATGACAAGCCCACAGCTAATATTATGCCCATGGTGAAAAGCTGAAAGTTCCTCTAAGATCAAAAACAAGACAAGGGTGTCCACTCTTGCCACTTTTATTCAACATAGTATTAGAAGTTCTAGCCAGAGCAATTAGGCAAGACAAAGAAATAGAAGTCTTCCAAACTGGAAAGGAGGAAGTAAAACTGTCACTATTGGACAGTGGAAAACATGATTTTATATACAGAAAACCCTAGGACTCTACCAAAAAGACTGGTATAATAAACAAATTCAGTAAAGTTGCAGGGTACGAAATCAACATAAATAAAAATCAGAGCAGAAATAAATGAAATAGAGACTAAAAAAATCTCTTGCATTTCTAGATGTTAATAACAAACTATTAGAAAGAAGTTAAGAAAATACCATTTATAATAGCATTAAAAAAATAAAATAAAATACCCTTGGAGTAAATTTAACCAAGGTGGTGAAAGACCTGTACACTGAAACTATAAGACATTGATGAAAGAAATTAAAGAAGACACAAATAAATGGAAAAATGTTCTGTTCCCATTAATTGGAAAAATAGTGTTAAAATGTCCATATTATGCAAAGCAATCTATAGACTCAATGCAATCTCCAGCAAAATCCCAGTGACATTTTTCATAGAAATAGAACAAATAATCCTAAAATTTGCCTGGAAACAAAACACTCCAAATAGCCAAAGAAATCTTGAGAAAGAAGGACAAAGCTGGAGGCATCACACTCCCTGATTTCAAACTACATTACAAAGCTATAGTAATCCAAACAGTGTGATATTGGCATAAAAACAGACACATAGATCTTGCCATTTATGACAGTATGGAGAGAACTTGAGGGTATTATGTTAAGTGAAATAAGTCTGACAGAGAAACACAAATACCATAGGATCTCATTTATATGTGAAATCTAAGAAGAAAACAAATGAACAAACAAAACAAAACTCATAGATTCAGAGAACAACATAGTGGTTGCCAGGGAGGAGGAGGAATGGGGGATGGACAAAATGGGTAAAGAGGGTCAAGAGGTCCAAACTTCCAGTTATAAAATAAATAAGTTATGGTGATGTCATGCACAGCATGTTGACTATTGTAAATAGTATTGTAGTGCATATCTCAAAGTTGCCAGAGAATAAATCTTAAAAGTTCTCATCACAAGAAAAACAATTATTTTTGTAATTTTGTATGGTGTTTGATGATAACAAAACTTATTGTGTTAATTATTTCATAGTATATACACATATCAAATCATTAAGTTGTATATGTAAAACCAATGTAATGTTATATGCCAATTATACGTCTAAAAACAATAATAACATAAGGCCAGAGGAGTACTTTTTTCTAAAATGAAGATTTAAAGAGGGCATATAGTAACATTTTATCACCACCACTGATTTTCTCTCAAAATAACAAAGTTGTAAATTGATTACTCCTTTATCAAACTAGGGTTTGTGGTTCCATTTTGCTCTGTAACAGATAATTCCTAAAGATAACCTGAAAATTTTATCTCTTTTACACTATAAGGAACTACTGTGGTTCTATAACATAAGATAAACTAAAACTCCCAACATAGACTGCAAAATGAAAAATGATTTTCTTTCAGTATAATTTAGCTACATAGAAAAATACAAAAAGTAAACATATACCTACTTTAAAATGTGTGGAAACAGAAATAAGAAGCCTTCACACTTTCCTCAAGAACAAGGGGTTTCTGATTGTCATGCTCACCTGCAAAGCCTCCGAATCAAATCCTCAGGTCGTCTTGTAATTTTTCTGGGAAAATCCATTTTTTCAATTCCTTTGAGAATCAAATTGTAGGTCATCATTTGGTCAATCCCAGAAAAGGGTGGGCTAGAGGAAGCACAAAACAGGACACTAGGACCAGCATCTGAGACACATTTACAACTAAGTTCCTCCCTCCTTCCCTCTCATTAGTTGTTTTATGACAAATCGGGATACACAGTAGAAAATCATTTAATTAATTTCACATCACAACTAATCACACACACACACACACACACACACACACACATAATTTTCGATAATCACTAAAATGAAAAATAAAGGAGGGGGGCAGAAATTGACTGAGAGGTGTGATTTCTTTTAGACAGAGTAGATATGAAAAGACTCTCCCAAGTTGACAATGGAGCAAAGGTATGAATGAAGAGAAGGGGTGAATGAGTCACGCATGGAGAGAACTTGAGGGTATTACGTTAAGTGAAACAAGTCTGACAGAGAAACACAAATACTGTGGGATGTCACTTATATGTGGACTCTAAAAAAGAAAACAAATGAACAAACAAAACAAAACTAGGAGCTTTTCAAGACAGCAAGTATAAAGGCCATGAGTCAGGAATGGGCATGGGCTGTTCGTTGAGCTGTGAGGAGGGCAGTGCTGCTGGTGGAGGAGTAAACTAAGCAAGAGAGAGGGATGAAAGAGATGAGTGAAACATCACATAGATCTAGTGGGCCATGATAAGGACCTAAGAATATGTTGTGAGTTAATTGATCTAATTTACAGAAACCAGAGTAAACTTTTTTTTAATGTGTGGAGCATGAACTGTGAGGGTGATAGTGGTGGGGGAGGCCTGGGAGCCTGGACTAGGACAGCAGGGGTGAAGGTGGTGAGATGTGGCTGGATTCTGGGTCTATTAATATTCAGAAAGTAAAGTCAACAGGATTTGCTGATGAGGTGAATGTGGTGTATGGTACAAAGAAAATGTTCAAGAACGATGATCAAGCATTTGACCTACAGAATGAAGCTAACATTGACTAAGAGAAGAAAGACTAGAGCAGGTTATGGGAAAGAATCAAGAGTTATGTTTTGAACATGAAACGGAGATGCTAAGCAGGCAGTTGAATTTATGAGTCTGGCATTTGGAGAAGAGGTTAGGGCTGAAGCTATGATTCTGAGGAGTCATCTGACAGTATTGATGACCATGGAGCTTGGTGATATCACCCAGGGAGTGAGTAGAAGGAAAAAAAGATCAAAGATTGAAGTGGCCTAATATCGAGAGGTCACAATGATGAGAAGGACCCAGCAATGGAGACTTAGATGGAGCCACCAGTGTGGAGAAAGAGAGGTCCTATGAAGACAGTATTTCAAGGAAAGTTGCTGAAATGAGTAAGAAAGCACTGGGAATTGACCACTCAATTCAGATAACACTTTTTTTTTTAAAGATTTTTATTGGGGAATTGGGGGGATGGGAACAGCGCTGGGGAATTGGGGGAAGGGAAACAGACAAGTTGCTGTCCTTTTGTTCTTCAGTCTAGTTGTGGAGGACGTTGCTTCACTGGCCCAAGTTGACACCATCATTGCACTCTGCCAAGGTGAGGCAGATCAGTCGCTGGCTTCTGGACGGTCGCTCACTGCATCTTGAGGGCCGCTCACGCTGGCTGCTGGCTACACATGGTAGCCCATGGCAACCCACTGCAGCAGGGGCTGCAGCCTATGCCGCTGCCTGGCAGCAACCCAGCTCCAGGTTGAGCTGTTGTTCAGCATCTTAGCTGTAGAGGGCAGTGTCACTGGCCCTCATATGTGGGATCCAAAACCAGGGCTCTCTGGCGTCCCAAGCCAGCTCTTAACCAACGCGCCACTCGGCCGGTCCACAGATAACATTTTAACGCATATACTTTACTTTTAGAAACACTTCAATATCTATGCTATTGAGTCATTTAATTTTTGAGAATTCATGAACTACCAGTGTTTCTCAGTCATGCTTGAGACCTTTTGACACTGAGGATTCCCAATCTTAGTAATAAACTTGAAATAAGGTCAGTGCATTAACTTTTCAATAATCTATGTTTCACTTGTAAAAAAATGAGGTAGGAAACAAAAACATTGCTATAATATTTTCAACTCTTTTATATATTTACAACTGTATTGTGTTTTGTTTTGGTTTTGGTTTTTAATTCTTTTCTCATTTTCATTTACCTCCTGAAGCTAAAGTTCAGGGCATTTAAAATGAACTTTTCTTGTGCCATACCCTGAAAACCTTTACAAAAACAATTTCCCAACTTTTTTTTATGACAGCTCAAGCCACCTTAGCAACTCCAAGTTATTGTGGGTTTTTTTTTCCCCCTTTTTTATTCCCTCATTTTATTTCCCTGCTCCTTGTAACAATTTATCCCAGCTGGAGAAGACTGAAATGAATGTTCTCCAGTTACCAACAGGAACCATCAGTATCTCTTAGAAATGCAGCTAACAAATTTCCCAGGAATGAGGAACAAATTTATGAAGTAGAATTCCATGTATCCCAAGACCTTAAGCAACTTTCCTTCCGTCTAAATGACTAGAAATTTTTCTCTTCTTTCCTTCCAAATCGTAAGCAATTAAGATAATAATCTTTCATATCTGTTTGTTCAATAAATATACAGCTAGGACGTAGAATGTAGCCACAGGTAATCTAACATTGAAATTTGTAAGTGTAAAAAGTTCAAGAAGATTCTATGAAACTCTCTTAATGTAAAATACGTGTTGAGACTCAATGGGCTCATTCCAGTATTCCTAATGCCACTCCAAATGCAAATCTTCCCTGAAAATATCTGGTTATAAAGGCTTATAAAGATGATCAAAAACATCAGTTCATGAGGGATGGAGGTACCAAACCGAAAAGAAAGCGGACACAAGTGTGTATGTCCATGCATTAAACTACATGGCACATGTGTGTAATGGAAAATGTGTCTTGTCACATTTAGAGTCAGAAGATCTGGGATCAAGTCACTGTTCTCAGGCAGGTAGCTCACCGCCCTGGTTTTCTATAAAATTTAAATCATAAAATAATTATAATGAAATTTAAATTATAAAAAATAATAAAAATTCCTGCTTTAACGTCCACACGTTTGTGAAAATGAAACTAGATAATATACATGTAAGTGCCCTGCAAACTGCAAAATGCTTTACAAATGTGAGTTAATATTACATATAGCCTATATATGTACATGTGTGCACATGTGTGCATATAAATGTGTGTGTGCATGTGCCTGCATGCATGTTGACTATTCGGGACCTTGTATTCATTGATATAGCTCTTTAATTTCTTTGGGAGTGACAATTCAATTTGACTGCTAAAAGCCCTGCTGTGTCTTGTCTCTGTTCATCAGCACATATATAAAGCAGCTGACAAGGGGAATAACATTTAAATCCAGCAATGTTGCTTTCTCTTAGCATTTCTGGTTAATGATTTATTGGGAAGATGGCTAAATTTAGTTTAATTGATTAATGAATTTAATTGAACTACGATTGCTATTTTGTCAATTACAAATAATATATAAAAGGAAATAATAACATGGCCTACAACTTCAATTCCTTTTCTTATGCTTATGCTGGACTATCAAAACCTTCACACACTTAATATGTTCTCTATAATAACAGGGCTTGCTGTTTTAGATGACATAGCATTCTGCATTCTGTACTTCTGTCCTTCACCTTCCTGAATCTTTTCTTTACATTGTAAACTAGTAATTATACTATATGTGAAATAACCTGAAGAGAAAAAGACATCATACTTAATCAGAAACATTTCCAAAATGTTAAAATCTTAAATCACATATTTTTTATAAGGTATTTTTGCACTTCTCTGAAGAAAAGCCTAAACACAACTTGAAGGTACTTACTTGCCCGTTAGGAGCTCATACACTAGAATTCCCAGGGACCAAAAATCCACACTGAAGTCATGTCCTTTGTTCAGAATGACTTCAGGAGCTACATACTCTGGAGTTCCACAGAATGTCCATGTTTTCTGTCCAGATCCTATTTTCTTAGCAAATCCAAAGTCAACCTGGAAAAGGATATCAAAGAAATTTTCAGAGACCATAAAACTCATGTTCCTCATTAAATCTCCCACTAACTTCCCCAATCTTTTTTCCACATCTCTGCCCTTTTTTTCAAACACACACACACACACACACACACTCTCTCTCTCTCTCTCTCTCCCTCTGACCCTCTTGTTTATTCTTTTGTAGGGTCAGGTGTAAATCCAACTACACTGGAGAAAGTTCCATGCACATGCCTCTACACCCACGACGCCTAGAGGATGAGAAGAATGGTTTAGCAAGGGGAGGCCATGACAACACATGTGGAGCTCAGGACAAGAAGGACTAAACTAGTTTTCAAATCAATGGTGGTATTCATTGGGAAGAGGAGAGAATGGGGAAGCAATGGACTTAAAGCTCCATCACAGAAGAAAAAAATAATAGCAGAACTGAGCATCTGGGCAAGGGACCATTGTTGAGAAGAACAGGAGTTTAAAATACTGAACAATCTTTAAAAACCATTATACAAGACATAAAAAGACATTATACACGATGTCTGCACCCTCTAAATTTTGGCAGTCCAAAGAAAAAACCAGGATCATCCCATCTCACCCTTGGCTGGACTTTGTACACTTTCAATCCCTCTCAGGGAGGTGGGTGGTGGATAGCACCTGCAGTAACTTCTGTATACTGAATAATAATATTTACTCCCTCAGCACCCTCTGTAGGCCAGGCTCTGCGCTAGCCTTCTAGATACAGCATTGATGAGGAGAAACTCATGGTGTTGGGAATACTTACACATACGTGATTAACATTATATCATCTACCTGATATAATAGAAGACTATGCAAAGTATAAACACAGAGTATAACCTCAGAGGGCCAAAAAACATACACTTCTGGAACATGAGAAAGGAGATGGTTGGGGAAGACATCATTAGGAGGGGAACATCTGAGCTCGGCCCTGACTGACGATTAGAGCTCTCCCAAGGTAAGGAACTGGTGTTACCCTGGCTTTTCAGCACAGGCCCCTCCACTTCTCTGAGACTCTATTCAATGAACTCCGTGCACAGAATAGAGACAGGAAAGGAGGCTGGAGCAACAGAAGACCCTCTCATTGAATGGAGGCAGTGTAAAGGAATGACACCCTGCCCTGCAAAACAAACAGCTCGTTTCCTTCCACAGTGGTCACTTAGCACACGCTTTCATCTCCAATACATACAGATACTATTTTAATAAAACTGCCCCCACCTCCCTCAAGTAAACAAACACACAAATTATACCTGGGCTTCAACATGCGCATTTGAACAGCTTCATTACACACACTATCTCAATAATCTAGCAATAATCTTGGCTAAAAACCTAAATAAATAAGGTGAATGTATCAAAATAGGTCCTCCCCTAAAAAAAGTATGACTCAGTGAACTAAGAAATCCAGCCCTGATATATTTATTCCAATGTTGACATATAAAAAAATATTTGCTTTACCTTAAATAAATCTTAGAAATTTACCATTTCACTAATGCTTTTTAGTATTTATCACACAACAGCAAAAATTTCCTTACTAGAAAAAGGGAATTTAAACAACCTAATTTGAACTATTTTCTTTTATCTACACAGGATGACTCATAAAGATTATATCTAAGAGATGGCTGGGGATATTACAAAATTAAAATTTGTAACCAGCTGAGAGTAGCATATCTACTTAATCCTCAGAGAAAGAACCAATATATGAAAATCCTATCTAATTTTATAAAGACTAAAATTTAAGAGACAAGAAAGCAATGCTTATAATTGCATTTTTAATGCATGCATATATGGAAATATTATAATTTTTTTATAACAGCTTTTCAACTCATTTTTATTGCATTTTTTTTTCTTTTTAGGATGACTGGAAGTTAATTAGATGTTCAGGGGAGTTTTTCTAGTTCTGAAAGTGATAAATTTTAATTTGAATAGCTGGTTTTGCTTTTGTAAGATTTGTATGTTGGCCCAAAGGGATGGCAATAATTATACTAAAATTTTAAGATTTATGAAAAGTTACCATGTTCTCTATCTCCTTTGATCTTATCAATTTTAGTCTAATCTATTTGGTCAGAGGAAATTGACACTCTGACCTACCCAGTCATGTGCCTTAAATATAGAAGGCCTCAGATCATCTGATATCAAGTTCTGTGTATCTTGTGTAAAAATTCACACTCTCTGTCTTGTTCCACCATGGTAACCCCCACGAAGCCTCAATCCTTTTTTTTTGTTGTTGTTTAACCCTATCCCTTCTAGGCAACAGAAATGTAAGCTCTTTCCTTTACTCATTTAATGAATATGTATTAAACACCACTATATACCAAGCACCAGGATACAGATAAAGCCCCAGTACTCTTAGAGCTTATATTCAAGAGAAAGAGAACAAGCATAAAAATATAATATCATACATAATAATGTCAGAGTGACATATGCTACAAAGAAACATACGGCAGTTAGGTACAGAAAGCAATCTGAATTGTACCTTAAATTGGGTGATAAGGAAAAACCTCTCTGAGGAGGTAGCATTTGAACAGATGTAAGCAGAAATCTGAGTAGACTAAGAAAGAGAGCTCAGTAAAAATCTGAGCAAGAGCTATTCTGCCAGAGAAACAGCTAGCACATAGCAAGTTCAAGGACAGACATGAAGTCCACTGTGGCTGAGCCCTATATAGTGGTCTGGTAAGCCACAGAAAGAATTGTAGATTTTTATTTTTCTAAGAGGCCACTGGAGGGCTAAGAGAAGGGGTATGCATGGCCTGACTATTGTTTTAAGGGGATCATTCTCGAAGACAAGAAAACAGACAAAACCTTTTTAAAAATTTTACTAGCAAAACTGAGCTTTCTAGAAGAATCTCTGGAGAAGCTACACACAGGTTTTTTTCGTGTCTCTCTTAAAGCCCCATTATTAAAGATAGCTTAATTTATGCTGAAAGCTTAAAAACATTCTCTCCAAAGATTTTAATAAACTAGAAGGTTTTAAGATGCCTCTAAATCTGCAGTGATGATTGCATCATGCAGAAATAAAAAAATTAGCATTGTGGTTTACTGGATCTGGTGTCCAGTAAGTATGAGCTTTTTCCCAGAAGTTTCTCTCTGGGTCAGTAAATTTGTCAGATATTGGTTCTCTTGGTCACATAAAAAAAAAAAAGAATCAAAATGACCAGTCTAATTAAGCCAGATGATTCATGGAGACATAACATTCCAAAAAAATATTTATGTGGCATTTTTAGGGCACTTACTTTGCCCAAGTCTAGACAAGGGTAGAATGGAATCTGTTTATCTGGTCTGCCAACAGGCAACAGTGGATGGCTTCCCCTGGATGGAAGCGAGAGTGGGAGACACTAAGGTATAGGAATCTTACAGCAACAGCCCATTCTTCATGGGGGCATGGTGACTCCTGTGAAATACTTGGAGTGTTTAGTAGGAAGTGGGCAAGATGAAGAGGAACTTGGCGTACACAAGCATGAACTGAAAAAAATCATTGAAGGCTCATCTTATATACTGCCAAATCTTTGAGCAAGATTTCCAGAACCAATTCCTTTCTCTTATGAGGTTCTTTAACACTGTTTATATTCCACATTACATCCCTTATGGCAGTATCGTCTAGCTCCTTGAGAAGAGGCATTATATCTTATTCATTTTGCAGCCCCTACAGCATCTATAGCACAGATGTTCAGCACATTTGGTAGAAAAAACTCTGAATGGAAAGATAACCATTAACATCTGTTTAATAAGATATCATATATATATATATATATATATAATCTTTTTTTTAAAGATTTTATTGGGGAATTGGGGGAGGGAAACAGCACTGGGGAATCAGGGGACAGGGAACAGACAAGTTGCTGTCCTTTTGTTCTTCAATCTAGTTGTGGAGGACGTTGCTTCACTGGCCCATGTTGATATTATCTTTGCGCTCTTCCCGGCTGAGTCAAATTGGTGGCCGGCCACTGGACAGCCGCTCACAGCGGCTCTTGGCAGTTCACACCGGCTGCCAGCTGCTCACGCTGGCTGCTGGCCACTCACGGTAGCTTATGGCAGCCCACTGCAACAGGGGATGCAGCCTACGCCATCGCCGGAGACTCATGGCAGCCCAGCTCCAGGTTGAGCTGTTGTTCAGCATCTTAGCTGTAGAGGGCAGCATCACTGGCCCTCATGTGGGATCCGAATCAGGGTCCTGCTGCTCAGAGCTGGTGTCCCAAGCCAGTTCTTAACCAATGTGCCACTCAGCCAGCCCTATGTATAACCATCACAAAAACTTGCAACTTGTGAGCTAGGGACTATTACCCTAATGTCAAAGACGAAAAAAGTTAAATCTAGGAAGGTCATGGATATTTGAGGTGAGACTTGAACCAGTTCCAAAGGGAACATTCCCATTATAAATAAGTTGATGAGGAAGGAGAAGATATTGAAGGGAAAAGAAGCAGCCTATGTTAACACATTGATGGGAAAAGCTTAATTGTCACTTAATAAGAACAGCTAATAATGGTCTGGCAAAAAGAATATAGATGGAGCCAATGAATACTTTCATTTGCAAGTTAGAAAATCCTTGATACATATAAAATAATGTGACATACACGCAAGTTATAAAGCATGAGAATACAAATACGCCCGTAGCCTCTGACAGTTTAATCATTAGAACAGAAGCGATGCAGAAGCCTGTGTGATCCTCCTGTGGTGTCCTCCTGCCCATTGCCAAGACATCACCACTACCTGGATTTTGGTGTTTATCATTGGCTTGCATTCATCTCTGATTTTACCACATATCTGATATCCTTAACTAATACATAGTTCACATTTTCTAAAAATTTAGACAAATCTTATATCTATTCCTGGGCGAATTGCCTCATTTCGCTTAAAATCATATCTGTGAATTTAATCCATATTGTAGTACATTTATTTTCACTCTGTATCATACACCAGTGAACTGACACACCATGATTATTTTTGTCCATTATGGTGTTGATGGACATTTGTATTATATCTAATTGTGCATTATTATA